AGTGTTCTAATTTTATTTCCATTAGCAGAAGGGAGAAGTCGGTCATGCAAGAACCATAGTACTTTTTTCCTTACATCATGGCACTAAGTGTTCACTTAGTTGTGCCACCCTGAGTCACTCTCCAGAGCACCATCTCCTACCTGAAGCACAACTTGCCTGTCCCCAGAGATTCAGCAAGAGCTCCCTCTTGCCTCTGGTTGTGTCTCTTGATGAACTTCCACTTAACCTACAAATACCAAAAAAAACAGTCTTCACTATTTGCTACCTCATGACTTCACTGTTGACAAAGCTTTGAGATAGAAAATCCATTTTCTGGCAAAGTCAAAAGTGCTCATTCTACAGCACAGGCTGCATTTGACTCAACAAATCAACTCATCTGGTCCATAGCTAATTTCTAGAACCTGTTTTTCCACACAGCTGTAAAGTAACAGAAATTTCAGTAAAATCTTACACAAGAGCCTAAATGCTTACAGTGAAAGATTAAGGCACTTTATATCCCAGCCTCCATGAGAACAATTATCCGCTGATGGAATTTCAGTGCAGCTCACCAGTGGCAGCAGATACGTTTCCAAGACTTTCTATTTCCATTCATTTCATTTGCATTGTATTTGTCTTGCTTCAACACATCCGATTTCTTCACAAGTTTTTATCATCTAGTGCTGCTCCCTTCAAAAGTCAAACAGAAGACCCAGATTGGGCATTATTAAAGGGTTCAATAGCTGTTTCACACTGAACTGCATTAGAAATTGCTATTAAACAAAGGTAAATGTAAAGAAAGGGCAAAGTAATAAAAGTGCTAGAAATCTGGAAACTGTACTGAAAGTAGGGTGACAAGACAGAACAGAAATGCCAGCTACTTGGAAAGAAAAAGATTATGCAGGTAGACTGACAAGAGCCAACAAGAGCCTGGCCACAGCAGCAGGACTAGGTTTCATCTTGCAAAACAAACGAGCCTGAGGAAACAGTCCCTTCTGGGGGAGACACTCCTGGGACGGACCTGTGACTCTGCAGTCTGCACATCAGCCCTTTCCACAGCTCCTCCTGCTACACATCTGGCCAAGGCTGCCAGCCTCCCTTTCAGATGGAGCCTCCCACAATCAGCACATTCCTGAGAGGAACCCCACGCTGAAGCATCTCCTGTTCCCCTCAAGCAGACAGAGGCTGAGCGTGAGGGCATTACTGCTCCCAGTCACTGTCCAGGCAGGTTCTCGGAGGTCTTTGCAACAAGTCCAAAGCACCAGCCTCGCTGATCACCGCTCTTCATATCCTAGCAAGCCCCACAGCCCAGAACAGAAACACTTCATGGATGCAGAATGAAGCGTTCTGATACTAGGACATGTCTGAGCAGAAGCTGTAGGAGACACTGTAAGGTCTCTCCCACACACAACCCACATGGCAATTACAAGATTGCATATTTAAAGACAACTTCTCTAATTAAATGAATTTATAAGGTGTCATTTAAAATATATTTAAATATGAATATAATTATAATTTAAATATAATCTACTTAAGGAACAGCTCATTTTATTATTCCATGGGGGTGTATATATATATTTTTACCATTAGTAAGGCAGTACCTTTTGTTACCACCTACCATTTAGCATACCCTGCAGTCTCCTGTTTCACCTCACTTCAGAATTTGTCACTGACAGCAGTCAGGAGAACCCCAGGACTGTGGGTACCCAGCCTGAAGAGTACTTAGCCTTATATAGCAATCTGAACACACCACTGTGAACTTAGCAAATTGCAAAGGAAAGCCCTACACAAACAGGATCCTATTACAGGTACTTATATAGTGTTTGCCTGAAGTCACACAGAAAAGCTGTGACAGGCAAAAAGAAAAAACACACCTGGAGGAAGAGCTTCATGATTTTTGTGATCTGTCAGCTGTCAGGCTTAACATATCTTTAGAGAATTACAGTTGCTGACTTATCTACAGGAGCCTTCTGCACCAACTTCCTTTACATAAGAAAGCTTTAATCTTAAAATACTTCTGATACATTAAGTATCCTGTGATCAATAATCAAACACCAGAAAACAGCCATAGTGAAGGAATACAACATTATTGTCACATACATGAAGGATGGGCTTGCATAGGTCCTCGGCTCAGGCACCTCCAGTTTAGTATTGCAGCTTGAGCATTCTGTTAATGTAGCCACAGCATGTGAAACACACACGAATGATACCGTTCTGCACAGATAACACCTTGGTATCAATCAGGACTACCATTTTCCAATACTGTCATCTCGTTCCAAAACTCACATAGCAAACAGAGCATTCTAATTACAGAGGAAGCCAGACTTTAGCAGAGAACATGCTGAAAGATTCCATCTTGCTGAAGGATAGCTAGAAGCTACTCGGATATCAAAGAGGCTTAAATGCTGTTAAGCCAGTACTTTATACCATTTCATTCACTTCCCACCTCCACTCTACGCAGTCCCACTTAAACCCTTACAATGTAACAGTCCATTAACACTGTGTATAAAAGTATGATAAGGAAGAAGTGCCAGAGGGAAATACACTATACCCGATATAGGAATTTAAAGTTAAGCCCCCACTTTTCTTTTTTTTTTTTTTTTTTTTTTAAGAAGCCTAGAAAGTCACTTTTCCCTGCTTCCCAAACTTTGCAAGCCCATAAGAACCTTTTCACGTGCTGTTCAAAGTGTTTTTTTTTTTTTAACTCCAGATAAAATATTCAAGTTCAAAATTAGGTCAGAGTAGCACTGGCATTTGCCTGAAACATATTTTAAATCTAAGGTTTCTGTCAGGGAAGTAAATCCAGCTAAACAGGCAAAAACTTCACAGGAAATATACAATGCACTTAAAATATATCATTGCATAAGCCCTGAGGATATCTAAATCAACTGAAGCACTGATGACACAAGGTATTCAATAATTCAAGCACTCTGGGCCGTGTGTCAGCATTAACTACACATGAAAGTTATCTTTCCTCTTTTTATTTAATCACTGGAGTGGGTTTCTGGTTAAAATCTCATCTTTTTTTTTAAAAGATGACACAGGTCTCGAGTTAATATCACAAAACTAAACAGTTCAGACCGTATTGTGACAACATGGAGAGACTGAACAAAATGTTTTAAGGAATATGGGGCACATACAAAACCATTTATGCAGGCTTCTAATATAAAGTATGTTTTATATTTACTCTCATCTTCAGTTTTAATATGAAAATTTTAAATACAGGAGGAAAAACAACTGGTGAACAAACTTGTCCATCTAAGTGGATAAAACTGCACACAGCCAGCAGCTTCGCACATTTCAGAATGGAGAATTCTCAAGACACCTATGGACAACCAGAAAAGAGTTTACAAAGAGCAGGTGAATGAAAGAACAATCTCAACTACTCCAAGACCCACAAGTTTCCTTCAGAAAAAAAATCTAATTTCACATTCCATATAGTTGACAGTGTCCATCACAGATTTTTTTTTTTTTTCCTGAAAGGGGGTAGGAGAAAAGACTTTAAAAAACTCTATTTTCAACTTAGTTTGGTTTCAAATATGATCTCCTTTGTGGACAGGTATGTAGAGTATAGAACTAAAACTTTGTTTTTCTCTGCAAGTTCACACCAGTAAAGCTGTAACTTAAATCTAATATTCCTGAAAAGCCAGCTTCCAAAGAGGTGGCCCATTTTTCTCCAAATGGGAATATAAACTTTTCTGTTTTGGTTAGCTGCCTTAAATGTACAGCCTTAAAACATGACTGTTGGGAAACATCATCTATTTCACTAGGAACCAACTCTATATGCCCTTTCATAAAAAATAACTTGAAACATCTGTTCGCACGTTTTCATCTATTACCTGTCCTAAAGTCTACATTAAAATCTGACAATTTCAATATACAATTTAGAAGCACCTAGAAAGTAATTCTCCAGAGGAAGTGTTTCTTTTCAGGTGTAAAGTGAGAGGCTCAGAGAAGCTACTACTCAAACAGAACACTGACAGACCTTTTCATTTCCTTTTACAGTTTCTACTCTCACGGTTTCTACTCACAACTACATTGCTCTTCACTCTGGATGTGCAATTTTAGTATTCCTCCCCTCTGCCATGCAGAGGGGTTAGTTTACATGTCTGAGATGTCAGCTCTGTACCACCAAAGCTGGAGCTCCCTTCCTCTTGGAGCAGGAAGGAAGGGAACCTGATCAATCAATCAAGGAGCAGGTCAGAGCAGCACTACAGCTTTTACTCAGAGAGTCTTCTCTGAAGAGATTTTGCATTACAAATAACTCTACCAAAGATCAATTCAAACCCTCAACTTGAAGTGTTAAAATTAAGTAAAAACCCTTAAATGCCTGAAATAACCTCTTTTTTACACTGTTAGAACTTCAAGTCACAGTGGAAATAAAAGGAGACTAAAATGCCAAAAACAAATCCCAAATAAATTTAAACATGGATTTAAAACTACTTCAAATATATTAGGCAAGCAAGCATCAGCCAGAATCCTGGTTGAAGCTAAAGTCAGTCCATCCTTTTATAAAATAAAATTTCAGTTCTTTATGCATTTTCTAATGTAAATATAAAATGCTGTCAGCCCATGGATTTCACATATTTTGGACAAATTCCATCCACTCCATCAGATATATACTAAGCTGACTCTGACTGGCCATGCATACACTAGCTTGAATAAAGAAAACCATAAGTTCAATCACAAAATGAAACTGGTGACAACCGTGTAAAACAAGTTTTATTTTGAGGCTGTTCAACATCTGATTTGAAGTTATGAAGCTACAACACCAACCTTCATGAACATTTGCTTTGTTTTAATAGAAAAACCTTAGTAGAAAAGTAGAAAATAAACAAGCCTCTGCAGACAAAACAATTTCTCCATGCACATGAACAGTTTCAAACACGGGATAGGTGTATGTCTTACCAGAGCCTATTCCCCTCCAGAGGAATGCATTTCAATATGAATTATCCACAGGTGGAGGTTTACCCTTTACATCCAAGTCCTGCTTGGAAACAGCTTGTTTTTAAACAAATAACATCTGCTTTTATTTACACAGGGCACCAATTAGAAATATTTAGAAGTGCTGGGCTTATGTAATGGCCATTACAGCTGAAATGTACAGAAACAGTCTCTGCAGACAAAGCAATTTCTCCACACCCGTGAACAGTTTCAAATACCGTAGCCATCCTCACTCAGTGTCCTATTTTAAAAGATATGCAGTCCCTGAGCCACAAGTGTAACCTGGCTGTAAGTACCTGGCAAGGCACAGCACTCTGGCATGCTGTGTTGCTAATCTTAGCATGAGCATACTGCAAAGTACAATTCTCCACAATATTAATGTAAACTGGCATGGATAAACTGGAAAACAAAACAATGAATAAAGTACAATTAGTATAGAAAGTTTAGACCAGATTCTCCTCCTATACAATAACTCACAACAGACATGGTAGGTTCTAAGAAAGGATTTAATCCACAACTGTAATGTAGGTCACTAGTGATTCACTTTATAGCTAGTATTCATTGCATTGATTGAGACTCAGTGTTAACATCAACATTTGTCAAACCATGTAGGGCTTTTTATCCTCTTCATTTAATAATGTAACTAAGCAGATTCCTCAGTCCATTTTGCCAATTTATCTATTTTTTTCAATCACAAAAGCAGTATTTAGTTTACCAAGTGCCACACCTTACTCCTATGCATGTGATATTCAGGTTTAAAAACTGAACATCCCTCAAGGTTTCTGCTGCCCTTTTGGTTTTCAATGAGCTTCAGTGACTCAAAAGAATTGAAACCAAGGTGGTAACTAAAGAGAAGGCTTTAGGGAATGGGAAAGCTCACAATGGGTGAGGGGAATAAAACCTTTCTAAAATAGCCAGGTGTTCACCTCAACCCACACCAACTTCAAATACATGCAAGGGCTGGAGGTGAATCTGATTTCAGACTAAGGACATGAAAAACCCTTCAAGCTTTATATTCTTACGCTTTTATAAGTTAGAACAGATTCTTTAAGATCAAGAACAACATACTCCCCTACTCCTGTCCTTTCCCATAAAGTTTGCTTTAAGAACATGGCTGAGTTTCAGTCTTTAATATTTGATCACCACTAAGTATTTGGAAGTTCAGATTTCTCTATGTTCCACCTCTGATTGTTATTCATGTAGTAGCTATGATGTTTTATTCCATTTCAACGCACTGTGGCAATCACCAAGTTAACAAAGAACTAACATAATGACTAAGTTTGAAATACAGAACTGATATGGGCAAGTTTTTCTCTGCTGACCTGAGGTCACCCAACAACACCGCTTTAACCTGAACACAGCTGACCGGGCTAGAAGACCATTCCTGCTTTTGTTGGAAGAGGTCGTAGATATTTGAGGAATGGATGGTTGTGCTTGAACTTGGCCTCACATTTGCTTGATACACTGTCATCGACTCCAGCCAAAGGATCAGTTTCTTCACCAAAGCCTAGGTTAACAAAAAAGAAAAGTAATTAAGAATTAATTGTTAAGACAATAACAGGCTGTAAGTAGAATCTCATTATCCCTTCAACATGAGGAGCTTGAAGACATTTCCACAGAGGTACTTTTGTGACCAAAACACCACAGATGTCCCAAGACTACAATTTATGAGCACAACTAGGGGCATTTTCTCTTCAAAAAATGCTTTGCTGAACTTTAAATTTTGTGAACAAAGCGTATAAGCGATTCAGTGATGGAACTTTGGAATTATTCTTATTTGTATTAAAGAAACATGTAGAGACTTTCTATTAGAAAATGGTAAAATACAATCCAATCTTCAGAAAGCTTATAATCCGCAGTCTTGATGCTACTTAAATACAAGCTCTATTTCAGAGATGCAGAGGTAACAATTCAAATTAACAATATTAATCTTGACCTTCAGAGTTTAAGTGCTTGCAAAATCTCTGGTAAACATACAAGTTAAATGGATGAAATGAAGGGTTTATATTATAACCCTACTTTCTATATCCCTGAATTTCCATTCTACATATTGGAAACCAATCAACATTAACTGATAACTATGTTCATAGACTTAGATTGCTGCAGTTAGAAAAAAATGGACAAGTAATCCATTTCATATAGCTATTCTCACATTTCAAGTTAAATTTTGAGTGACAGCTTGATCAAAGTGAATTCACTTAAAAATGTGAAGACAAAAGAAAAATGCTTTGTATCAAGGTGAGAGATCAAGTTGTAAATAGCAGGCTGACCTGTAAAAATCAGGTCAAATGCAAGTTAGTTTTATACTCAGTACAATGATATACCTATCAAGCTGTGCATTGCTTTCAAATTTTTCCTTTAAATAGCTCACTAGTGCTTCATTTAAAATTCTTTGCTATCATCCTGATGGTCGCTATAACCACAGAGGTTCTTGAAGGATCACATCATTTAATCCTGTTCATTAAATATTACTCAGCTTGATCTCAGTCAGAGGTAGGGATAAAAATTCTCATGAGGACTTTCTACAAACTTATTTTTAAGAAGTATAAACTGTAAATATTAAAAAGAGAAAAAATCATTTTCAGTGAGTATTCTGGGCAGTGTTTCCTATATAACTAGTCACAACTACTGCTCTTGTTTTCAGACTTCAAGTAACCTCAATAACCAGGTTATCTTTAACAGAAAACTAAATGCCTTGAAATTCAATCACTGAAATAATCAGAGCTTTGAGACAAGCATTTTCTAATAATGCATTTTTAGTATCAAATTTCACATGCCCAGATGAACACTACAATAAATTAATGTAGGTTTCTGTCATATTATTAAAATACTTTCAAACACATTCACCAAAGTTTGTGCTTATGCTACAAGCTCCTACTTACCTCTTCAGATCTTCAACGTCCTCTAAAATAACCATCTTGAGAAAAGCGACTCTTTTTACATGGTTTGTAAGGATTTATACTAAAGATAAAGAAGAATGTGAGATGTTATCAGAAAAATCTCTAAAAAATAAAATAATCTAAAGTGTTACACTTTGGTAAAATAGGCACATTAATGGGTTTTCAAATTTACTGGAGACTTCCCAAGCAAACACAAAGCAACGTACTATTTCTCCTTCACTCTTCTTAAATTTTACAGAGATTGAAACAATCAGGTTTGGTTCTAAGCTTTTGCCTACCTTAAGGAATGCAAGACAGCAAGGCATATAAGACAGTTTGGTCACCTCCTCCCTTTGCTGTTGAAAGTCAAAAAAAAAATACATTGCATTAGTCACTGTAAAAGTTTGCATTGCACAGTAACAGCAGCACCAATAGGGCATTTTAAACCAGGCATTTTGCTTCTCAAGATCCTTCTAAAGCTTTTGATTCATATCTTTTTCCCCAAGTAAAAGGTCATGTTAGATCAATTAGCAAGTTCATTTGTTAAGATCTGTAACCCATAGGACTGAAAGCAACTTATCTTGACCATACTGACCATCTATTTACTGGTCAAATTAATGCCTTCCAATTAAGTATACCTTTTGGATTACAGTATTTAGCTTGACCTTACTTAGAATGTGCATCTCTAACTTGACATTAAGACCCAAAGCTATACATATTAAATTTGTTCTTTGACAAAATATAGTGCCCAGGGAAATCATTTAACTCACATACCTCGACAAAAACAAACATAGCACTAGTTTTCCTTTAGAGTACTGATAAGTTCAGCACAAAAATAATTTGGACAATAAAACCTATTCAGATGAATATTTTTCAGGGAACAATAAGATAAAAGAAAGAAAAATGAGTTTCTTGTTATGATTTGGGGTTTCCAAAGTCTTTGTAGAAAAGAATATAAAGTATAACTACATTACTGCCTATCATTAAACAATAGTTAGAATAATCTTCAATTTTGAAGTGTAGTTACTATAATAAAACTGACTTATAAAAATACTAGATTAATGACTTTAAAAAGATTGCATTTATATTAGCTTTAAATGCTAACTTGGAATCTCTGAGGTAGCATGCTGCCTCGAGAGGGAGGGATTGCATGGAGAAAAACAAGTGGGAGAAGCCTAGAAATGCAAGGAAACCAAGAAACAAGTGACCTATCCAAATTATCTCTGATAGCAGATGCTGCTAACAGATGCTCACATTATGCTCAAAGTACAGCTGTGAGAACCAGAAATATACAGCAAAGATATTAAGCCCCAGAAGATATGTCCCTTGTACCTCAAAATACTTAAGATATCATTCTAGGCTGACAAAGTATGTTTCATCCAACAAATTCTGCCTTATAAAGCAATCCAAACTATTCTAAGCATTTTTGCTTAGGTAGTTATTTTAAGGCTTCGCAAGTGTTGTCAAAAAACAGTATCAGTGATTATTAACAGATGTAGTATTCCTGAGAAAGAATTTATTCAAGTCATAATGATAGCATGATGAGTTACTTTGTCTTGTCTGATTTACCTTAACTAATTTCTAGTTGGTGGTGCTGTATAGCACAGAGTAAAAGCCACTTTGAAGAAAAACAAGATAAAAGTATTTTGAATAGCACAAGTAGTTCTACACTATAACCAATAACAGAATTACAATCAACTTAAGTATAAGCCAACTAGCTCATTGCAAAGAGCTCATTGCTCTAAGACCTTTTCCCTGATGTTCGTTCAACATTCACATGCTACAAATTTTCAAAGCTTAAAGAAACAATTTTCAAACAATTATAACTCCTCAGAAGCAAGATAAGGAATAAAGCAAGGTCCTTTATTTATCCTTGCTTTATAAAAGCAAGATTCCTTAATCAAAAGGAAATTTTCACATGAACAATCTCCTGGAAGTATAAATACCCTAGTGCAAAGTACAACTTTCTGATGCACTGTACTCCATTTTTTTAAAAGAATATCTAGCTTACTGGCTCTCAGGAATTTAAGATTCTACCACACACAAGAGTGGAGTTATAACAAGGAAGAGAGGATCTATAGCATCTAATCTCCTATACTCCAGTGTTCTACTGGTGCTGACAGCTTCCATCACCATTACCAAGAGTGATAAAATCAGCACTGATGTTCTCAGTCTTTCCACACAGCTGAAAATCCTAAATATCAACAGAAGTGATTCTGTTCACTTTCATACTGCTACTAAGCAGAACTCTAACAAACAGTGCTCAAAGGCAAGGAGAATATTATGTGACCTTCACTGTGTCATCACTAAACAATAACTTTTAATATTTTTTTAAATATATGTAATTGCAATGTATGGTTGGAACCCTGGGATTGGGTCCCCTGGGAGAGCTTCCCAAATAAATCATTGCAAGTTTTTAAGTTGTAGTAACTTGATCACATTCTTACCTTCTTTGTAGTTTTTACATTGAAAGACTTTCAAGGAGAAAGACCATCTCATAATGAAACTTGTAAACAACAACAAGTGACTATAAATCATATTTTTTATAACCAACATTCATGGGAAAACTAAAATGTTACAGTTTTACAATGTAATTTACATCACCTTTCGTTGACTAGAAGTTTTTGAACTTGACATCTTGCAGTCCTGACCCATGCCGGCATTTTAATTTCTAGGAAAAAAAAGCAGCATTGATTTCTTTTTCCAAACCAGGAAATACTCTTAAAGACATTTAGAATGCTAGAATTTGAGTAAGTTGCTTGAAAATGGTACTTTAAAGTGTGATTCAACAAAACCTACACATAAACCAAGCAACAGGAAAACACTGATACATTTAAACCCTACATCTCTTGGATTCTTAACTCTTCACATCAAGAGGGAACCCAGAGCCTTATCCCAGAGCTAAGACCCTGTGTTCCTAGCTTGGGTTGCAAAGTCATTGTAAGTTTTCTGAATCTCAGGTTATTTCATCACTTTCCAAAGGGCCTGTCAATACAACACATCAACTGCTTGTACAGCAGATAAATCCCTCAGTCTGGAAGGGTCACATCTGTAACAGTAACGAACCTTAACGAGGAGAGGCAGGGGTACAAGGTGCATGTTCTAACACTTGAGGGCATCCTCACTCTGGGGTGAAGGGTACCTCAAAACAAAACCAGGAGCTGCTATACGAAGTTACCATGACCAACAGAGTTAACACACAGCAGCTTGCACATGCTAGCATGCAGGCTGTCAGAATAACTGCCAAATTTACTAAAGACTTTACAGCAGAAAAAACAGGACATCTTCCCCCAAGCACACACACACTTGGTTATTTCAATCAAAGGCTTAATCCTAGCCTCAAGGAGCTTGCTTTGGACTTCTTTCAAGTAAGATGTTCCAGAAGCTCCAAGCACATCAGGAACACCCAGCCCATGCTCCCTGAGAGGGGAGATACTGCAGCTTTCAGGGGCTGCTTCTAAAGCACAGGCAGCACAGAGCTCTCACCGGTTAATTCAATATTAGGTAATTTATTCTTCAGAACAAAGGATTCCCTGAGGGAATTCTTACCATAGTCTGCCCTTTGTGTGAGGATGTGCCCAGTAACTCCGGAACTGCACCGCAGATAAGGCAGCCGATCGAACTCCGTACCTAACCACCCAAGAGCATTGAGGAAGGAGAAAAGCGAGACTAGAGACCCGGCAGCTTCCCCCGGGAACCAGAGCCGGGCTTTCCTGCGGCCCACGCAGCCGACCCCCCAGCGCCGCGCTCGCCACCGCCGCCAAGGCGCGGAGCCGGAGCGGCAGCACGGCGGCCTGCCGCCGCATGGGGACAAGACCGCCTGCCGCGAGACCGAGCGCGCCAGCGAAGCCGGGCAGCGCAGCGGCCGCCGCCAGCGCTTTCAGAGCGAGCAGCGGGGCCGCGCGCCGCCGCACCAAGGGCGGCTCTGCCCGTCCTCGCGGAAACGGCCCCGGCGCTGCTGCCTCGGCGCGCGGGGGGCGCCCAGCCGGGCCGCGGCGCCAGGGGCTCCCGGGCCCCTTCCCCTCCCGCCCGCGCCGCGGAGCCCCGTCCCGCCGCACGCCGCTGCTCTTCTCTCCTCTTGCCGCTCCTCTCGCTCGGCCGCGGCGCCGCTCCCAGCGCCGCGCGCGCAGCGCCCGCCTCCTTCTAATAGCGGAGCGCCCGCCTCCGCCCCGCCCTTTCCCCCGCCGCAGCCAATGAAGGCCGCGCTCTCTGGGGAGGGGCGTGGCTCCGCTCTGGCCGCCCAGTGAGGAGTCGCGTTGTTGCGGGGTGCGGGGCGGAGCGCGGCGCAGGCAGGGCCGTGAGGGGAGGGAGGGAGGGAGGAGGGAGCGCGGCCGTGAGGGCGGCGCAGGCGGCGCTCGGTGCCCGCCCGGCCCCGCGCCCGCCATGAACTCGCTGGAGCAGGCCGAGGGTGAGCGGGAACGGCGCGGCGCGGGGCCGGCGCGGCGGGCAGCGCCCAGCGCGGCCGAGGCTCCGTCCCCGGCGCGGCGCGGGCCGCGCTGTCAGCGGAGGCCGCGGCGCGCCGGAGCCCCGCGGGGTTCGGGCGGCCGGGCCGGGAGGTGCTCGCTCTTCCTGCGCGGTTAACGGGCCGGTGCTGCGGCCCCTCCCCGCCGGCGAGGCCCCGGGGCGGAGGTGCCCCGCGAGCGGCCCGTGTCCGCGGCCCTGCACCCCGGCCGCTCCGGGAGGGACCTTTAAACAAATCGGCAGTAAGCCCGGTTGGGAGAAGCGCCCCGCGGAGTGCGGAGCCGGAGCCTGCGGACCGGTTTGGGCCGATAAAACCCACCCCGGGCAAAACGTGGGGCTCTCACGGGAGTATTGACCAGTATTGATCTCGTTAAACTGGAGCGTGGAGCTCATGCAGGGGAAACGGCTCCTTCTAGGCACACGTGTGGTTGGCTGAGGTTTTAAGCAAATTAGGGCTGTGAACTTGAAGTGCCACTCGGCATTAGCAGCAATTTCAATGGGAAGGTCTTACATGATGCCAATAGGAAGGAAAAAAAGAAACTGCAGAGATTTCTTTGAAGGGGAAAAAAAGAGTTGAAGAACTTTGGCCTAGTGTTTGGTGTGGCATTGTCCTTTTTTTGTTCTCTTATTATTTTTAATAGCATGTGGCATACCAGGTTCCTGATAAATGACAAAGTTGTCTAGGCCATGGTGCTCCAAAAACCCCTTGAACAGAGAGCAGACAGGGAGTTTTTTTTTTTTTTCTCCTCACCAGTATGTAAACAATAGACTTTTAATAACTTCTGGATATGCATAATGCTGGGTATTATGTTCCCCTTTGCAGAGGGTGTGTTTAGTCTGTTATAAACGCATGTCTAGATATTTTTAAAGAACAATACATACCTATATATACACAGTGTATATGATATATAAAACACCATGATTCTGTTGCTATATATATATATATATATATATATTCTTTCCTTCTGTATGTGGGAATGTTTCTTGCATTTAGTGTAACTTCACGGTTGCTGTCTTTAGTTAGATTTGTGCAAAGCTTCTTCTTGTGTCATTTGAGCTGTTTTCTTCGTCCATGAGATCGGTGTATTTTTTCTTCCATGAGACTGAGTGAATTCCATGCAACTTTTGCACTGAAGTTTGACTAACTAAATGTATGAAGATCTAATCATGCTTTATGTATGTTCTTAGATCTGAAAGCTTTTGAAAGAAGACTTACTGAATACATTGCATGTTTGCAGCCAGCTACAGGACGTTGGAGAAGTAAGTTTCACATTCTGAGGGATAGATAGGATTGCCTGTTTGCTTTGTCTCTTTATGTTTATATATAAAATCTTGCTTCAGAACAACTTTGAGGAAATCTGATATTTGTAAAGGCTCAACTTACATGGTGCCTCTTTAGGTACCGGGATTGCTTCCAAAATTGCTAGTTGCCCTGTCAAATATCTGTTAGAAGAGAAGTACTGAAAACTTGCATGTTAGAAGGGTTCAAATACATGGTTTATATCTTAACTTTTTATATAAATATACAGTATTACCAGTTTTGAAATAACTAGCTTGCATAGCTAGTATTAAGTCCATTTGTTTACATAAATAACTGCTTGCTTTGGTAATTTTGCCCCCCTCATGCTTAAGAGGGGCTTTTTACTTTAATTATACTGAGAGCATTTAACTTGATGTTAATTTTTTTCTTGTTACACTGGAAGTTATCCGTTAGAGAAAACAAAACAAAACTGTGCCTTCATTTCTCCAAAGCATCAGGATATTTTTACTTGTTATAGCTTATCTACGTGTCCTGTCCAGAAAAGTTGTGTTTACTGTTTAGAACAGTAAAGTGTTTTTAGCTGTTTTTATTTTTAGTAAAGGTTGTTCCTTCTTCTAAAGTGGGAAAAAAAGAACTCCTAAAGTTTCTAATGAAACACAAATGCTTTTTGCTATGAGTTGTGCTGCTTATGACTGTCATCCTTTTCTTTATCAGTGATTCTGATAGTGGTATCAGTCTGCACAGCCACTGGTGCTTGGAACTGGTTAATAGATCCTGAGACACAAAAGGTAAATATCATGCTGATCCTGAATGGAATTTGTTTCATAAATTGATTTTGCAGCAGAGTTATATAAATCTGTACAATAAGTCAGGTGCTGTAGACAAGTGCTACACTATCTTGAAAGTCACAAGATTAAAGATGAGTTTTCTACGTGAGTACCTAGCATGGTAGGGATACAGCCATGTAGGTATTACCTCAGGTGTAACCAAAAACATAAGGCAGCAGCAGTTCTCCTGATGCCTGGGGCAAATTCCTAGGACAGCAGCACTGTACAGCTGCTCATAGGGAGCTTATAAAGGTCTCTTTCATATGAAATGATTGTAAATAATGAAGTTAAACAAAAAATGACATGGGAAATTAATTGCACATATCACTGTGCAGTCTTTTTTTTTTTTTTTTTCCTTCTCTCTAGGAGCCTCAATTTTATCTACAAAGCCACACTATGCAGATATTGCCAAACTGATATTTAGGCATGAAGTAACCTAAAGTGTTTATTGTAGATGTATGAACTGATCTGATTCTTAAACAGTATTTCATTGTCTGTTTTCATTAAAACATTCTATGAAAGCAGGAGAATATTTTCAGTATTGGAATATGTATGTGGACACTGCTTGGCAAAATGTTTCTGCTAGACTGCCTCTGTAAGGAACTGTTCCCTAGTACATCGAAATGTCTAAGAGCAGTATATGCTTTGAATTAAGTTCACCAGCTCTCTATATGTTTTAGAAAGTGCATCCTAGGACTAATCTGACTTCTTTCCTAGGTGTCATTTTTCACATCACTTTGGAACCATCCATTTTTCACAATTAGCTGTATTACCCTAATAGGCTTGTTCTTTGCTGGAATACATAAAAGAGTGGTGGCACCATCAATGTATCCTTCGATCATCTCTGTCAGGTTAAGTGTTGTAGTTACTGCTACTGTTGAAGCCTATGTTAATGTTGCTTTTCTGTTTTGACTTGAAGCGTGTGCAAGTGTTAGCTGTTTTCCTTGACACAAGCCATACAGTATAGCAGCCCGATGTCGAACTGTTTTGGCAGAATATAATATGTCCTGTGATGATGTAAGTGTTAGCAGCTAATTGCCTAAACCTTTTATTAAAAACAATCAAACAAAATAGAAGTCCACAAGTCTTTTTAGTGAACTCTGTGTGTGTGTGTGTTTAAGTATAGGTATAGATGCATGCACACCTTAACAAAAAAGAGTGTTTGTATGTAAATGCAATATAAAATACTCAGTATTATTCCATGGATCATTTTAAGCTTAGCCTGGATTATTGGACGTGAAGTATTATTGATTGACTAATTTTTCAGGATCTAAACTATATTTTCTTTTCCTGTTTTGCAGACTGGAAAGCTAATTTTGAAACCTAGGCCTCATGTTCAGTAAGGCCCATCTTCCTTCAGTTTTTTCCACTGCCATGGAAACCAAAAATGACCTTTTTTCAAGATAGTATGACAGCAAAAACCAAACAGGACTGGTTGTCATTACCTAGGAGCAAAAGTCTTATACAATTGACAGTGAAAGTGTGCAATATTGCTTTCTTGAATATTTCTCCAAATTTTTTGTTATCATATGATCAGTGCTCTTGCTACTTCTGATTACCTCTTTTTTCAGTATTAGTGTCACTTTTTTACTTCAGCTAGAACAAAACATACCAGTGATGTATGTTAATTGGTTATGAAGTTGAACTTGAAGATCAAACCTCATTTGTGTTACGTGTCTTTGTAAACTACTGTAAATAGCAGAACAATGCCAATGTTCAGAGGAAAAAAAAGTAATAATTGCTGTATGGATTTTTGTTGTTGTTCTCATGAACAGTATTGAAAGGAACACTTACCATTCCCATGACTTTTTCTTAGCACACTTACTCATTACAGCTATCCTTGTTTCCTGGTCACTGCTTTTGGAACTAAAAGGTTTGCAGAAAGACTGCTCATGCTGGAGAAAACTGGTCTTTTTGTTTAAGAACTTCGCAAATAGATGGAGGAGCACATTTGTGAAACTGTACACATAGTGCACTAGCCACTTTCCTTGTGGTCATGCGTAGCTCGTTCAATCTGGCTCACGAGACTGCTGTTTTAACCAGATTTTAATGTTTTAAAGATTGTCTTAAATATGCTTGCATCTTTCTGATTGTACAATTGTACTGTATCTAAATTCCCCAAGATGCTGGGTGGGTTTTTATGCTGTGATAGTCTGAATATGAAAGTAGTCTTGGAGGTGTTTAACTTTGGATACAAATTATTTGGCGAAGTAAATATAAATGGTGCCACAAAATAACAGAACTTGTTATTTCAAGTGTTGAAAACAAGGTGTGCATGTTATATGCATAAAGTGTAACTTAGCATTGTAAATAATTTTAAGAGTTTAAGTGTTCAAGGTGCCTTTTTAATTGTTTCAAACTCCTTTAACTGACTAAAGCTGCAAAGCCGTGCAAGTTCCCTAACCTTTTAAGTATAAGCAAGACCGCCTCTTAAAGGGAGACTATTGACTTGATATATATATATATTTTCTAATAAGTCAGTTGAGACATTAAAAAAAAAAAGTCTGATTTAATCTTTCCCGTAATTCTTTCTCCCGCCCTTGCAACATTTTTAACCGCTGTATATTTTGTAGGTAAATGTGTATAAAATAAACCCGTCCTATGACTTCTGGGCTCTCCGTCCGTGCCGCGCACGCGCAGCTCTCGCGGGCCAGCAGGTCTACCTGCCGCCGGCAGGTGGGCCCGCGGCCAGCAGGTCTACCCGCCTCCGCGCCGGGGCGGGGCGGGGGGCGGTGCGGCGCATGCGCGGCGGCGGCCACGTGTGCGCGGAGGGCGGTGGCGGGGCCATGGGCAAGAGCCGCGC